ACCCCACCGCCCTCTTCCCCTGTTCTATCCACTGAGTCTTAGTGAAGCTACGTTCCCCAAAGTGAGGCTAAATACGAACCTAAATTGCATCATCACACGCCCAGTCAGACAGGGATCCTGAGCACACAGTGACAAGCACCGTCAAAAAATGGTCCAAGAGACAGAGTTCATTTTGTGTGAGGAAGAAAGATAACAGGGAGAACTTTTTATCTGGAGGTTGTTAACGTTGCTGCATTAACGGTGCCACAAAAAAGCTCAAAGTTCCACCCCTATGGCAGACACTCCCCACCCTCCTGGGTTAGAGAACCTGGGCTGTGCTCAGGCAGCAACGTGCCTTGCGTCAGGACTCTACTTACCCGCTGCCTCTACAGCTGGCCGGGCCTGTGCGACCAAGTGCTGGCAAATAAAATGTCAAGGAAGTGTCTATGTGGCTTTTGGGGAATCAACGTCAGACATGCTCACGTGCTTGCCCCCTCCTCCCCATCCATCCTGCTGTGTGGACCGAGGAGACAGTGGTGGGTCAGGGCTAAGCTACTGCCTCTGGGCTCCAAATTCCCACTCCAGTTCTGCTGTGATGCTGGGTTGGGACTCTGCCGATGACAAACCTCCTTTATCAGCTGCTCCCATTCATCAGGTTCTGGCGGCAGACGTATCTGCCTGCCGCTCCTGCCTGTGTGCTGCGGCAGCAACCCGCCTGTTCCCATCCTCACTTCTTTGGGGGACCCCAGCACCAGCCTCAGGGTCCCCAGCAATAGCCAAGCAGTGCCCTCTCCTTGGAGGTCGGGATCCCAACTCTGTGGGCCCCTCCTCTCAGCTTCCAGGTTCTGATCACCCCAACCTCTTCCCTTGTCCCCCAGCCCCAGGAGCCTGCTTCCTGCACACTTAGTATTCCTTATTTTAATCACTTCTGTTCCCTTTTTGCTTTTTTGTTTCTCCACCGCCTGTTCACCCAATTCCCTATATTAAATCCTTTATGGCTGCTGAAATACCTAGTGGTGTTTCCATTTTCTTGCTAGGATCCTAACTAGCACATGTGGCCAGAGCTTCAGCAGCTTCTTAGATCACGAGATTAACGGCCACATCCTAGAAACAACAGAGCGCTTAGTTGAAAGGAGTCTGCATCCCCATCAAGCCGTGAAGCCGCCACACCTGCTCAGCCTGGCTACTCCTGGACCTGTTTAGTGCGCAACGGAAATAAATTTCTATGTTGTTTAACCACTGTGACTCTCGGGTCCTCTGTTATAAGCAGCTAAACCTAGTAACTGATACAATACAAACCACATCCACTTACTCCTCTTCTTCCAGTCTGGAAAACTCCTCACTCTTCTCTGCCATCTAAAAAATACCTACTGGGCTTCCCTGGTGGCACGGTGGTTAAGAATCCGCCTGCCAATGCAGGTGACACGGGTTCGAGCCCTGGTCCAGGAAGATCTCACATGCCGCAGAGCAACTAAGGCTGTGTGCCACAACTACTGAGCCTGCGCTCTAGAGCCCGTGTGCCACAACTGCTGAAACCCATGCGCCTAGAGCCCATGCTCTGCAACAAGAAGCCACCACAATGAGAAGCCCACGCACCGCAACAAAGAGTAGCCCCCGCTCGTCGCAACTAGAGAAAGCCCGCGCGCAGCAACAAAGATCCGACACAGCCAAAAATAAATGAATAAGTTTATAAAAAAATACAAACTACCTACTGTTTAAAACCAAGTTCCAAGGGCTTCCCTGGTGGCGCAGTGGTTGAGAGTCCGCCTGCCGATGCAGGGGACACGGGTTCGTGCCCCAGTTGGGAAGATCCCACATGCCATGGAGCGGCTAGGCCCGTGAGCCATGGCCGCTGAGCCTGCGCGTCCGGAGCCTGTGCTCCGCAATGGGAGAGGCCACAACAGTGAGAGGCCCGCGTACCGCAAAAAAAACCCCAAAACCAAGTTCCAAGTCCAACCTCCTCAAGAATCTTTTGCTGTCTTCCCTGCTAGCTCCTGAAGACAGGGGTCACGTCTAACTTCAATTCTCAAGACCCAGTGGCCCCAGATGGTGGATGCTCAATAGAGATTTTCTGAAAATCACAATGACCCACAGCACTCTCCCAGAACCTCCCTTCTCCAAACTCCTCCCTGTTACATTTTGTAACTGACCATCTTATATTGTTCTCTAATTGGCTGGTGGTCAGCCTTAGCTCTCTAATTTAGACTGTAAGCTCCCCAAGGGACAGTCCCCTCTTCCTGGGGGAGGGCATCATGTAAAAGAAAAGCCACAGGCTTCAGAGCCAGGGAGCCAATTCAAACCCTAGTTCTGCACTTACTAGCTGTGTAATCTTGGGCACGCTGCTAAACCTCTATGACCCTCAAAAATGCACTCCTCTGTAAAGGAGCAGCACTTAAATCTAGTCACTGTAAGACCTCAGGGTCACGGAGCCCTGGGGCCGCAACGCCCTGAGCATGCAACAAGGGTGGGGTCATTCCATCCTCCCGACAACCTACAGGGCAGTGCCAGTACTGCCTCCATCGCACAGAGGAGGAAACAAAGCAAGAAAGTGGCAGAGCCACAATGGAAGACGGCATCTGGCTCCAGAATTCTTGCTTTTAACCCTCATGCTGAGAGACAGGACACAAGCAGGAGGGCACCACGTGCCATGCCAGACACACAGTGGTGCTGCGGGCACAGCCATCCATCACAGGAGCCCAACGTCAGGACGGGTCTGTACTAACCTGCATAAGACACCTGTTCCTGTGGCTGCTGTCACTTACGACCACAAACTTCGTGGCTTTAAACAACACACAGGGCTTCCCTGGTGGCGCAGTGGTTAAGAGTCCGCCTGCCAATGTGGGGGATGCGGGTTCGAGCCCTGGTCCTGGAAGATCCCACATGCCGCAGAGCAACTAGGCCCATGTGCCACAACTACTGAGCCTGAGATCTAGAGCCCACGAGCCACAACTACTGAGCCTGCGTGCCACAACTACTGAAGCCCGCGCACCTAGAGCCCATGCTCTGCAACAAGAGAAGCCATGGCAATGAGAAGCCCGCACACCGCAAGGAAGAGCAGCCCCTGCTCGCCACAACTAGAGAAAGCCCGTGCGCAGCAACTAAGACCCAACACAGCCAAAAATAAATAAATAAATTTAAACAAACAAACAAACACATTTATTATCTTACAGTTCTGGAGATCAGATGCCTCTAGACAGGTCTCACAGGGCTAAAATCAAGCTGTCAGCAGGGCTAGACTTCAAAAGGACATACCTCATTCCAGGAAACACACAAAATAACTAAAACAGATTCGGAGTGAGCTAATGAATTCAAAGAGGGGTTACCGGCAGTGATGAGGAATTACGGTTTAATGGGCACAGAGGTTCAAGTTTAGCAAGATGAAAACATTCTTGCGATGAACAGTGCTGATGGTTGAACAACAACGGAACCGACTTAATGCCACTAAACTATACACTTAAATATGGTTAAAATGGTAAATTTTATGCC